TTTTTGCGGCCCGCCAACCTCGCAACCGTGGACCACCCTGCATAGAGCCAACAGACATTTTAAATTAAAGTCCAGTTGTTATTGAAAAAAGCGATTTTTTTCATAACGATAAAAAAAAAGTACAACAATAACATAATAGCAAAACGTTCCATAGGTCCACTTCGTGTCCAAATAGACATTTTTTTTATTAGATCCTGTCTTTTGTTTGCTATATGGGAGAAAATTTCAAAATTTTATTATATTTCAACAGTTGAATTTCGAGTAAAGGCCCATTTTTTTTTTATAATTTACCTGTAATTCTTACAGGCAGGAAAGTGTCTTGGACAAGTGGTACACGTGATTTCTGAGACACCGGGATATGATTTTGACACAGACGGTGTAGATAGTAAGATCACATCCGCAAGCAAGATTATACTCTGGTATATGAGCTGATGTGAGGCACACAAATATTCCACACAATATTTCTATGCGATATCAGTTTACAATTACGCTATCATAGCTCTGAGTTTATCGTAACCAAGGAATTAAAATGAATAAACGATGCGATTCACGATATACGGAAAAGAGTATACAAATATGTGACATATATATACATAATTGTTATCATTTCATCAAAATCTATTTTAAACTTATATTTGAACGTAGAATTCCGAGTAGAATCGGTAGCATTTTCATCTATTCTATAATTTCAGGAATAAATATTATAATATCGTCAGGCTAATAACCGAATTGCCTAAGTCATTTTTGGCGGTTTTGTGTTTTTTATGAAATAGTTATTTAGGCAATGCCGCGCTCTTGTCTGTTAACTCAGATGTTATCCCAAGAATTCCGAAACCCATGAAAATGGAGATTTTGTGTGGCATGCGTATTCTTGCAATCGTTTCGTCATAATGAATTACTTACCGCGGGACTATTGTGACGGGACTAAGGGACTAAGATAAAATAAGATCTGGCGAAGTTTTTTCAAGTTTTTGCATCTTTTATTCTTGCTTAGCGCTCATAAATTTGAACTAACACTCCAGCGTAGGAAAGTGTGCACTTGTGATATTCATTCAACAAGAGTGTATTGCTATTTTATTCTTTATATTTATTATATATGGAAAGCCTTATTTTCGTTACAAGTGCAGAGCGCGTTATATTGATGAATTATATGTTTTAAACATAAAAATAATGTTATTGAAACAGATAAGCTATTTTGAGGGTTAGACATCGTAGATACTGGGAATTACATACATTTTCGAGTGTTTGGTTCTCAGGACTGGTGTGTATAGTGAAGTTGCAAAATTGCGTTTGTCCCCAAGTCATAGGCACAATCCTGCGTAAGTCACATTGCGCCATTATGACGTCACATACCTGCGTCATACAAATTAATTTAAATCCGGCTACGACTAAAAAAATAAACCATGGGAAATTATTGACTCTGAATGGCATAACAATATCATTGGGAAGTTATTTACGTTTTTCTCAAAACTGCTAAAAATGACTTACGCAATTCGGTTATTAGCGTGACGATATGTAAGTAGGCCACAATTTTAAGATTTAGAAAAATCGATATGAATGAACTCAATTGTCGGCTGTATATTACGTATATATATTTAAAATTTAATCTTATTACGTTTTGCTAAAGCTGAGAAGAGTTTTGCAGTATTTTGCCGATATAAGTTAAAAATATTTCAACATTTGTAATATAAACTACACTAAACATATTTTAGATTGAAAAATAATAATATTTATCTCATATTCGCATAGGAATACTTCATCCTCAGTTTCTCATTTCATCAAAGTGTAAGACCCAACTAGGTCATTTGAAGGAGTGGGTCAAATCCCGATTTTGAAAAATACTGTAAAAGCTACTCAAAACTAACATAAACTCAACATAATCTGAACTTATTCGTTCTATTTACATATATTGTAATAAAACATATATGTAATATTGTAATAAACAGATAACAAAATCTAAAAGCATTTATCACCAATATATTCTATTCGCATAACCGATACGATTTCACAAAGGACAACCTTTTGCTTTACTAATCGACTATATTACGTAGAATTCATATCAGACAGCGATATTCATTAAATTGTCTAAAAACGACTATATTTTGGATATATATATCGAACGCAGTCAATTTTATGCAATTACAGTAGACTGTTATTATGATTACGACTCTAAAAAAACAAACTTAATCAGAAAAATATTGCCGACGATAAAATTTAATTGTAACGGTAAACATAAAATTAAAAACGGCGGCACCTAGTAATTTATCGGTGTTTACCCTTGTTCGAGTTGCAAACCCACCTATATTTCTAGGCCATTGATTGTGTTTTTCCTTTTTTCAAGTGATATACAAACACATATAGAAATGTCCTTTTGCTCACATTTGATAATCTTGGACGCGTTAGCAACATCATCTGCCTATCTATGACAAAAAATAAAAAGACAGTATAATATCCCTATAAACGCGTAAATAAGATCAACGACACCTCATAAACAGGTTGTTGTTTCAACGCTCAATATGCTTTGTATTTCACCTAACCATTTATTTCGAAAACAGAAATTGGTGCAACATATCTCACAAATTATAAACTGAAGGAAATTTGACAAGCAGGTATGAAAATAACTCAAATTTTTGGTTGCAGTAAATGGTGAAGTCAGTCCGAGTTGAATTACGCGGCAATTACGGGGAAAGCTTTTTGTAATGGGAAGAGAGAGTGTAGTTCTTGCTCGATGCATAAATGGTTCATTATAAATAAGAAAAGGAGAAACGTGCCGTACAATATTCCTCGTGTTCCAAGGTTTTATCGAAAAATCTTGAGCCAGAGGAAATAAGAAATCTAGGCATGACATTTCAAGCAAACCAATACGCAACTAGGTGGGTATATATACGTCAATCGCGAGTGCAACAATTGTCAAATTTGCTACTAAAAAACTGAGTATGGTTATAATTCGCGTCAACTTGAGCTCGTAAACGACGTAGGTACGAGTTCAACATGTCTGCTCTGTTCTTGTCCCAATTGTATGAATCTCACTGCATTTGAATACACTAATGCCGAAATATTTTTATCTATCTTAGCCCAGAACATAATATCCTACTTTATTTATATGTCTACTTCAACTAGATACCCGATAATATATATCTACGATAACCCAGATCTATGGGACAAGTGGGATATAAATGGGACCAAAAAATATGACAAGCAAAGTACGGCATTTTTGAGACACCGCAAAACAACTCCATTGAATTATCATGTAGATATCTTTTTTCTGTTCATAAATTCAAGAATACACTTTTATCCTTATTCAATTTGAAAATATTTTTAATTCCTTTTCGTTTTTATATACCGGTAGTAGGTATTATAAATCACGTGCCCTGGCCGATCTGTTAGATTATAAAAACTATATATATTCTAAATATTAACTTCTTCAGTTGTACTTTGAAATGATATGAAATCTCCACCACCTGCCAAAAACACTAGAAGCTCTTCGAGTAAAGGAGGACTTTATACAAAAACCGAAGTCTTTTCAGCTACATCTGCCCATGTACCTGTTTTTATTCGACTTGTTTTAATAATTGAGCTGAGTTGCACCGCATTGCTCAAAACAAATATTAGTCATACAAACACAGTAAACGTTTTGAACTCGATTTCCAACCATGACCGAGCAATTGGTGGTGACAGAATAGGTGACCGTACATTTGAACCCATGTACATTTGAACCCATGCGTATATCCACGGGTTCAATCTATATGCGGGTGCTAAAACCCATGGGTTAGGGTTAGTATGGGTTTAACTATCCGTGAAACAAAAAAAATTCCATAGGTGCAATAGCATACAGGTGCAATTGTCATGGGTTCAAATGTACGTGGGTTCAAATGTAATGGAACCGACAGAATACAAAGTTTTTTGCAATCTAAAATAAATAAACTCCAATGAACGGAAGTCCTACTTATTCTAATCCAAAGTGACTTTATAGTCACTTTGTTCTAATCTAGTGGTTCCCAACCGCCGGTCCGCGAAGCTTTATTGCCGGTCCGCGAAAAATTTCGTTTTATTAATTTTTTGCCGTATAAATCGCTTTATCGAAGCCGAAAAGACGAAGTTACGTTGGTTTATTACGCAATTTCTCTTTCGTCGACTTATTACTGTTTGATAATTGCGGTATTAATCGGTCGGCGACGTCTTGGCGCCGAGTAATCACACTTTTCGCTTTTTCCGTTCTGCATGTAGAGTAGAGAACAAACACGAGTACTTGGACTGGGTGGGGAGCTAAACGAGGCTTTCTTGACAATACATTTGAGTTGTTACACAATAACTAAATTGCAACTTACAGGGTATACACACGTCGTATAGAAGTCGAATATGCATTTAAGTAATAGCTTTGCAAACGGATATAACATTTTCAATTTCATTAAAAAATTTGGCCACTGTGCATCTTCCAGTTAATATTTTACTTGTATATGCCATCGGTACGAATATAAGACGATCCTTCAAATGCTGACAGGTGAATTTTCACAAGTGGCGCGTACAATTACGAAAGACTGCCGAGGCGGTATCCAAAATATCAACAAATCTACTCGCGAAGATAGGGTGGGTGTGGTCGTAAAAAGTGGAATTAATCCCATCTATAGGGCAGGCCATGTCTACGCACTCAGAAAACTGTTTAACTTTGAACCCGCGGATAACTTCACAATGCGGTTAACGCACTATAATCCGGTCAAATATTTTTAGTTTGTACGACTGAAGCGGGTGAATAAGAATCCTCCTTTGTCGCGCAATCACTTATAACCGCGGGAATTACTGCAGTGATAATTACACAAATCAAACCCGATCTGTAACTCGCTACACGCACGCAGATGCTACGCAGTGTGACGATAAGAATTGCAACGTTTAGTTTGCCGATCTTCTTTTGCGGTACTGAATTTGTAGCTCTGATTTTAGCGTATGCGATTAATCTAAATCGTTTTTGTGTGCCTGATTTACGTTACTAGACATTCGTTAAGAAATTCTGTGTTTATGAAATTTTATTCACGCTTTAGGTTTAGCCTGCTTGAAACAGTCAAAGCATTATGTTAAACTGATCATCAACATATATATATATACATAAAAAAACACAATGGACGGAACTTTTACAAAAGAAGAAGCGGACGAAGATGTTAATAGCGGCAGTGATGAAAGCGAAGAGGAAGACGAAGAAGAAATACCGCCAAGTCGCCTTGAATATACAGAAGAAAGGTAGGTCTGTTTAGGGCTTGGTAAACATTGCTTCCCCGGTGTACTACTACCAGTCTACCAGGTCATAAATAAGTTTTGTCCGGGAGACGTGTATGATTTGTAACACGATTTGTCAGTTTATATAAAGTAGGTACAATTTTTTTATGATTTACAAATTACCTACTGGGAGTTGGAATCGCATCGATTAATCAAGTATATGCGCCATGTTTCCCCGCGAATGGTATCTTTTGATATGCTGCTATATCCTGAAATCGCCCGTGTATGCCCTAATCCGGGGACCCGTACGTACATACTGCGGTTCACGTGTAAACCAATGAATACATTAGAATCATAGGCTTTACAATCACATATCCAGCATATCCGTTAAATTTTTTCTAATTCGAAAATGATTTTTTCTGAGAAAATTTGGATATGTCAAACCATTGGTGTCTTTTTAACGCCATATAGTTCCTCCCTGTCTGTGATGGTCACATGAAGATAAAGAATCAGAATGTCACGAATTACCCAAATTACACGATAATATTTTTTTATATTGCTATGAACTCGACCTGTATACAAAATTTTGAGACAATGCGAATTATCATTGAAACGCAGTAGAAAGTGATAGAAACCCCGCACATTTTGAAACTTTTCTTCTCACAATTTTTGTTAAAGTGACGATGCAGCCGAGTCTGGTTCTCTGCCTGCTGAGTCCGCATCACTGGGTTCAGACAAAAAGGGGAAGACAGAAAAGAAGGCGGCGATTGCTAAACCTTCGTTATCTTCAACATCAGGCACAACAGCCAAACGGCGTCCACCCTTTTTAGAGATTATTGTAGACGCGATTACGGCAAAAGATGATAAAAAGGGTGCCTCAGCTCAAGCAATCAAAACTTACATACGTGAAAAATATCCAGACATTTCCGAGGTATTTTATACATTATATTATCAACGGTTAAAGAAGAAGTCTTCACTAGCAGTTGAATATATTATGTCTCAGTCGGCTCAGCCGTTATAAATTGATAATCGTGAAAACCAAATATAGCCTGTACTAAGATACCAAATGCAAGTTCAAATAGACGATAACGAATAAAAAACGTTTGTATACCTTTCATAATATTTCTTCCTTCCAATCGGTCCCTAAAACATTCAATAAGTCTATTAATACAATATTTCAAGATGTTTAAGTTGAGAGAATGTGTATTTTTGTGTGGCTTCTTAAACTAAACTTCAGTGATGACTAATTTTTGTTTCTGCAGAACGTTTTAAAGAAAAATTTCAAGAGTGCAATTCTACGGGGAATCGAAAATGATACCCTGTTTAGACCAAAAGGATCGCAAGACAACAAAGGTGAGAACAAATCATTGGGCATATTGTAAATGTACATGGATTTGAGGATGCAAACACTTATCTGACTAAATCATCTTGAAGTATTAGTGGTAAGAAGTAATCGTACGACAGTCCTTCCGATATCGCCATCTACAAATTCACAGATGTCTATAGCCAGCATGCAAACAATAACTGGAAAGGGGGACGTTGTGAAATCATTTGTCCAACCCTGTTTTAAGAATTTCGGGCATTCAAGTTGCAATGAAAACTAAACTACAATAATTAAACTCATCGTGATCTGACTTGTGCCATTAGCACTATGAAATTTATAAAGTTTTCTATTTGAAACTTTCCCCCAATATTCGACTATAACGAAATATTTCAATCAAGCCACAGTAAATACCCCCTCTCTGCCTAGTCTAAGAGTCCGCATCATATACATAGCTGAAAGGCTGCATATGAACAGACTACATGGACTAGTATACGGCAACAAATACATTGTTCATGCATAAATGCTCGGAATTTCACCCCAATCTGTTAATAGTAATCTACTTAAAGGTGCGGTTGGAAGATTCAAAATAAGTCCAGAATATCTGAAAGCCAAGGTGAAAAGCGAAAAATTGAAGGAAAAACAACGCAAACAATCTGAGAAAGCGAAGACTGACAAAGCAAAAACTGCGAGGAAAAAGAAAGCTCCAGCAAAGACTGTCAATGGGAAAGAATTAAAGAGTTTGAAAGAGAAATCCTTGGCTGTTCAGGTAACTTCTTAAAACGATTGTAAGTTATTCAAGATTGTAACACAATCAACCAAAGGGAGTTGTATAAAAATTAACGATCTACTGACATTGCTATAGTTTTTGGTTCAGTTCAAAATTAATCTGCTATCATTATATTATTATAGGTCGCAAAAGAAAGAATAAAAAAAGCCAGGAAGTCTATGGGGCTGACACCGAATGCCAAGCCAAAAGTTGCCCCGAAGAAAAAGGTAACTTCGTAGACAGTAGGCTTTCAAGTTTTAAATATCTGAACTAAATGCAGTCAATTTCAAGAATCCAAATCCACAATACTACATCAAATTTTTTTCCCAAGCTCATTTCAACCATTGCGTTCGTAGAAGTAAAACATAGAAAATGAATTTGGGGAACATTTTACTTTTAAAATTTGCCAAAAGGTAAACGAGAGAACGAATATTCACGGCTCTTGCATAAGGACGAGGTGTAGTCGGAATATGAATTTCAGGTACATGTGTTGATATTTAACTTCCTTTTTAAGGCGAGACCTCTATCGAAAAAGGCAGCTACTTCTAAATCGCCTAAAGTTGCCAAGTCTGCAAAACCGAAGCCAAAGGCATCCAAGACAACAAAAGGTAGATTAGCTCCTAGTCTTGAATCGTGTTTATTTACACCCAATTTAGAACCAGCTCAAACGACAATATATAGTATGGGATGGATGGTCGCGGTACTTCACTATTGCAAAATTGGTTATACTTTTATTGTATTTTCGTGAGTTGGCTTCATAATTATCATTCAAGATATTTAATCGCCCCCCAGTTAAAAGTACTCATGGATGTATCTCGGCCTTTTTCTGTTTTCTGTTTTGACTTTTTCTGTACTCTAACTAAGCTAAAATTCTTTGGAAAAACAAGGCTCTTGCCGATGTTACGGAAATATAAAAAGAAATCGATACTTGGAAACATTCATCATTCAAAAAAGTCATTTCACTAGTCCCTCCGAACTCAGTTCAATATTGCTTGATATTCACACTGAATACATCCTCCTGGATCCGAACTGCTCAGTGCAGCAGTTATGGGAATTCTCTATTTACATTCAGACTATTTTTTCCACATGCCAGGCGTCCTCATGACCGGTATCACGTTTAGGTATACACTGCGACCTGATAATTTCCAGGTAAAATTGTACGAATTGTCCTGAAATCATCCTGTGGAGTATTATTCTAATCTGAACGTAAGGAACAGTCGGAAAGAGATATGTCTGCCTAAGTTGATATTTGTTTGTATTCCAGGAACCACCAAAGAGCCTGCCAATAAAAAATTGGCGTCGGCGGCTACAAAAAAGAAAACGACCAAAGCAAAATGAATGCCTGTGTTCGCAGTCTTCTTTCTTATTGGGCGGAACGCTTTATTCTATTGATTCCCCCATTAGCTTGTTTAGCGATAGATTGTCCATATGATATGCACGTCCGCAATACTTTTGTTGCAAACTCTCAAATATGTAGAAGCGAACAGCGGACAGAAATTGTATTTATATTATCACTAGCTTTCTGTTGCAAGTCATTGCATCAGATAATTTAATAGATTGTGTATAGAGTTCATGTATTACTGGTTTGGTGGTTTTCTAGGTTTTACTGTAAGGTGTTTATACATAAGTTAATAAAACAATATCGCTTCAACTCTTGACTCAAATTTTCACTCAACTCTGGATTGGTTAGAATAACTTCTGCCAGGGTGACATGGCTAACAAGAGGGCATATGGATTGATGTGTCTGAAGCGAATTGCATTTGAGCTGAAACCGCCGACCGCCCTTACGCGTGCGATTTTTGGCTGTATAGCCAGGTACTTCTTTTCCACCGCGCTTGGGGTCTGGTGCAGGAAAGTGGGCGCTGTGAGGTCGATATCGTCATGAGTGCGGATTACTAAATTGGCAGGTTCACGAGTGCAGGTAGATTTTCACCTCTGGTACTGTGATAAAAATTTGAAACACAGGACCTGTATCTCGCGCATTAAAATTATATCGATAGTCGGCCTGCTGTAACTGAAAATAAGTAGTGGCTTCTGAAAAAGACCAAATGGTCCCTCGATTTCTAATAAGAAATTCGTGTAACGTGCAGAATCCAACGTGAGCAGACGGCAACGGGATGTAAGAACTGGTTTGATATCAAATCTTTGAAGCCCTATTTCAGATCCGACAACTTTGTCGTTATTGCAAATTCCAGAATTTTCTAATGTATCCTAATGAACACCGTGTCCAATTTATTTAAGCGCCCATGCTTTCCCACCTTTTATATCTGTTGGCATGAACGCTACCGCAGTAGAAATTGAAATAAACAAGATAGCAGTGAGAAATTTATGGACTTTCTAAGTATAGTAGAACAATTGTGACGCAGGCGGTCACACAGAATAAAAACAATGTTCTCATGAATTAAAATGAAACTTTGAAAAATGATAAAATATCTGATCCCCGTAGTGTCTCGTGTTGGTATCTAGGTGAACCTATACTTTAAGGTGGGCCTGGGACCATCCTCCCTGGCCTTTCAGATAGAATTGCACTGAATGACACTGAAAATCTTATCAATAGCTTGAAAGGATTGTTGACGGGTGTGTTTCCAACCGGGCACAAAAAAAGTACGACAAGGTTACGACAACCCCTGCGAGTGAATTTAACAGCAATAGAATCGGCTAGATCAAGTTTTGAAAAGTCGTAATGCTGCATTCTGAAGAAATTAAATTGAACAATATGAGAAAGCAGATAGCGATCGGAGACCGCCGACTTATCGATCTTTCGTTCGGAGCGACGAAAGTTGGGGATCCCCTAAAACAGAAACTGCCGTTTCCATTCCTTCGCTCTGACTCAATAGCGAAACCGCGTGTCCCATCACATAATGACTCGCTAATTATTCGACATAATTCATCCAATCAATATGCTTCCTTTTTTTATTATGGCGTGACACTTAAATTTGTGTAAATGCTTCATTTATTTTATACAAATTTTCAATAGCATACTTCTAATTAAATGAAAAACTTACAATTTCTTGTCAACATAAGTGAGTTTCAAGACAAAAAAAGCTTGGGAAACACAAAATTACACCTGTAACGAAATTTATCGCTTGGTCGTCAATATAAATAGGACATCATAATATTAATTTCAATTCCCCCCAGAATTTAAATTTATCAATGACGTACCAGGATGGAAATTACCGAAAACGGGATTGCGCAAATGGGTAGACTAAATTAGTAATTTTCGTGTAAAACAAATCGCCCCACCTTGTTTCGGTATTTTTCTTGTACAAATCAATCATATTAATCTCTTTTAGTTTTATCATGTAAAGCAAATCACTCCTGGTGGATTCGAATAAACTAGATTGGTGAGTTGTTAGCCGAGTTTCGAATTTACAGTGATAGTTTTAGATGTACATACTGTCTGTTGATATAATGAGTTTTCCAGTGTAGGTTAATTTGTGAAAGTATCTTTACTTTTGACAGTATTAAATGAAAATATTATATCAAACGAAGAAAAACTATTAAAGTAAAACTGAGTGGTATTAACTGTCATATATATCAAATTAACAGGAAACCCCAGTTTGAGCAATGTTGAATTTCTGTTTAAAAAATACTAAATTTCAAATACTAAGTTCATTTTATGATTCAAACACAATAGTGTTACTTAGTTGATTAGACAGTAGATTTTGCCTCACACTAAGCAATAATTGATATGAAAATATATGGCAAGAATTTTACTTTTCGTTGATATAGCCTACAAGGCTGCTGAGATGAAAAACTACAAATATATTCAACATTCAATTTTAATATCAAACGTATTTGTCAAAAGTAATAAATGGTTACCCAAATATAAATTCCAATTTCTTGATAATTGCCGTATTCTGTGAGATGATATCCATGGGTTTTAATAAGGGAAATGGCCCACTTCAGAGTTCCATCCTTGAATTTAGAGAAAATATTTTGCTCACATGATCGGCGACAGTTGATGCATTAAACCAGAGCTCAAATACCTATATAAGGAATTACTTGTGGACGAATGGTAGCTAAAATCGAAATTAGTTTGCAAAAGAACATTTGATTTAGTCTATTTCTATCTTGTTTTTCTGTTTGTTTGCCACGTCTTTCCGAGAAATCGACTTAAACTTACTTACGTCATATCTAAAGTTAAGCTGAATGTAACATACATTGACAAATACAAGTAACTGTAAATCATTTACTCACCTGTAGCTGTCACGTATGTTTACTCAGACTGTGTGATTTGAAACGATTGACTTTCACTTCACCATTGAAGCCTGAATCTCGTTCGCGAACGTACGCAGTTATATTAGAATATTTATTGGTTTTTGGCGATCTAGGAGAGTTATCGTCATTGCCACTATTCATAGCACGTCAATTCCAATCACACTATCAATATATATATATATATACTAGTTTTAATTGCCTGGTTTCATATCATCGCTTTAATTAACTATATGACGTTTCCCAATTTAATGTCACGAACAGCGTCTGCTGGCCTCGCCTCAAAAATCGACGCCCATATTTTGACTTATGAAGGATGATAAATATTGGCAAAACTTGTACTTGCAAAAATACAGTTACAATAAATCGCTGGTATATTTATTGGCATTCTTCACAGTAATGGTAGCATTCTATCATCTCGTTCTTTGCGGGGGGAGTCTTCTTGTGTTTCCGCAAGGTTATGTCGGCTATGTTTGGTTATTTAGAATGCGACTCTGTAGAAGTTTGCTCAGTTGTCAAGGAATATAAGACGTACCGCTAAATAGGATGGAGGGCGCCTTGAGGAGCGCACTTGAGGTTGAATATATTATCGCAGCCATATGTTAAACTATGGGTGTAATTATGGTACCGAATTCGAACACCGTGTAAAAACGAATTGTCTTAACTTGCGCCATGAAACGTAGATTCAGTTCACAGCTTCAATAGATATGTGAGGGTGATTTAACCCATTCAAATAAGATTTGTTCTATTTAATTTATAAGGTATGGTATACAATGTTAGTAAAGCAAGGATCTCACCGCCTGCAACTCAACCGTAGATTAGGTATGCAAGTTTAAAAACGAATATCCTCAGAGAAACAAAAGGATTTCAACGTCTACAGATTGCTTATTCAATGAAAATAAGGCCAAGAAATTATATGAAAATAAATCCGGTTGATATGAGTATTTATTATATTGGGTTTAAACTAAAATGTTATATGCGTATTTCATTGCCTGAACAATGCAAAAAATATCAATATCTTGTAATTGTTTTCGTGCTAAGATCGATATATCGAAGTATTGCTAGCGAGTACCGCATCTAACTAAAATTATTGAATGAAATAATAGAAACTTTAGGCCCTATTATAGGGCCCTAAAATAGGCCCCCCTTTTAATTAAAGTCAATATCAAATTCAGTACAATGCAGCACTCAGTAATTGCTTGATCGTTAAATATAAGTTAAATTTGATCGGTTTTGAAAAGGCAAGTCGCTTTTTACTAACGCAAAGGGCATGACGTAACGCAGTAATTGAACGCCAATTTGAGGCATGTATTTTGTCTGATTATGTGGTAAATAGGCTTTTTGCTAGTGAAATTTCATTCTTATTCTAAGCATACCAGACAATCCGACTTTTTGATTTTTAAAACTTTTATGGTATAATGAATTAGTAGGGATTGCATTAATTAGTCATAGACATGTTGAGCGTTTGTTTATTTGTTTCATTTGAATACTATGTTCACTCTGTTTTGGTACGATTCAAAATTGTTACTAGCATCTATAGATCGCCAGAATTAGAGACGTTACTTAGCCTGTAGTTATTCCGCCCGATTACACTTGTTCAAAGTATAAGCACGAACAATTAATCTTCCGCTATAATGTAATATTAACGCGCAGATTTTTGTATATATACTTCTTCTTTAATCATGTGTAGCGTAGGGCAACAATTCAATTTGGTATAATGTACCAAGTCTAATTAGCGCGTCGTATAATAAGCCTCGCTCTTGATTATCCATACTAATTCTATAGATTACATATTGAACGTTGCAAAAATAGCAGAAAGCATGCTTGCAATCGCCACAAATTTACGCGCAAGCAATGAACAATTTAAATGGTTAGCATTGTAATTTGTGTTAGAGTATTTTGAAGATCTACATCTAGATTCTGCTTCCAGACATTGTTCAGGGGGATATCTCATATATGCTACAGCGTTGCGTTTAGTTTTTAAAAATAAATCTGACACAATACTAAATTTTTTTATTTCATATTTTTACATAAAAAATAATAACAATGTAAACGTCGATAAAGGCAGTTAAAAATATGAGTAGCCCGAGTGGAGCACGGAAGTGTCATGTACAGAAGATAGAGTCGGAAGAGTTCCAATTTTACTTAATAGAAGATAAATCAAGGGGTGGTCAGGTATGAATATGTTATCGATGTTTCCACACAAACTTACGCGGAGTATTTCTTTGGGGCTAAACGTAGTGTAACCGTGATTGACATTATACATTTTCGTCTTCCAATATTTGAATGTTCTGGAATTCACAAGTTATCAAGAATGGTGTATGTTTATGCTACTCATACACATGTTATGCTACTACATTTTGCTCATTGTAAGTAAACTCTAACTTTATGCATTTATGAAAATAATCGATATGCCGTAATTACACGAAAAGAGAAACCTTATTGAATCTACTTGATTCATTCTGTCATAGAAATACCTCACAAATCATACCCGCACCCACAAGATATTTTTCGATAAACACTCTTTCAGAAATTTGTTTCCAAATTTGTTTTTTAGGTTATCACTTCTGTGACCAAAGACGGTCCTGCTTATCGAGGTGGGCTGAAAAACGGAGATAGAATCATTTCTATCAATGGAAAAAATGTTCAATCAAAATCCCACAATAAAATCGTTTCAATAATTAGAAAATGTGAACCAACTAACGAGATCACATTCTCGCTTATTGATAGTGAAAAAGATCCTAATACTCCAAAGTGAGTTTTATTTTATATCGAGACTTTGTATATACCGTAAAGTGACTGATATGGAAAGCTTTTGTTATATCTACCATCGAATGCTTTTTATATATCGTTGATAGTTTTTTTTATGCAAAATCCAAAGCAAGTTGGATTATTTAGATTTGTGGCGTGACCTACCGTATATGATGAATTACCGAAAAATATAAATATCGAACGATAGCAAGCAATAAAATGTTCCTAATAATACTTACTGCATGAAGTAATTTCTCAGAATGTTGTCAACAAATTGTGCAGTATAGAAGCTGACCTATTGCATGTAATGTGTACCAATCAAGGTACTTTAAAATACTTTTAAATCATTCGAGTCGGAGTGTTTACAATGCTATTTGACAACCAAACACTTTGCACGCATGTGCTTCAAACAAAAATTTGAGATAAAAAGCATAAAGATTGCCGAACTTTCAAATTTGCTTATTCTCTTTTTACCTAGGCCAAAACCACAAAAAACGTCGTCGAATTCCGTAGGTGATGCCCGACCAAGAATTTGTAGAATGAAGAAAAAGAACAACAGCTTTGGGTTTTTTCTTGGAAGATTCTGCTCCCTGTAATCCTAATATTGATCGCTTCCAAATGTGAACCCTATACCACCGATCATGGCATATAGTCATACTTTAGTCAAATAATGAAAAAAGTTTCGAGTGAAATTACTAGAACATGGACGACTCGTTGGCAGTTGGCAAGATCAAATCATTAGTTTTATTTGTTGGTGACAAAACCAAATAATTAAATTTCGTTACTTTATATACATATATATTGTGTTTAAAAGGTCATTCCATCAGGCATGTAACAAAAGGAGGTGCTGCAGATCAAGCAAGTTTAAGAGCTGGTGATCGACTAATTGCTGTTGGAAAAACCAATGTGGAAAAAGAAAAGCATGCTCAAGTCGTATATTTAATCAAACAAGCAGGACGGGAAGTGACATTGCTTGTTATTGATGAGGAAGGTTACAAAGAATTGAAAGCAAAGTATTTTTTTTTCTTCATATTTTGGATGCGCTTAAAACTCGGAAAACCTCTTTAAACAAGGTTCTGAAATAATAAATTTGCTATACAGCAAAATGTTTCTAGCGCATATCGGTATCGGTTCTTTATAAAGTACGATTACTTTTCAGTACTCACTCGTTTTAATTGTTTTGTTGTTTAAAGTACGTGACTTGAAATTGATGGAATCAGGCCAGTAAATAAAATTTCAATTTAAAATTTATTGAATAAGAAGAATTCTATTTCTATTCGTTCAAATTTTGATATGCCATATTATTTCCTATATTTGAATAATTTCTTTGTTCAGAAAAGTCCCTATTACTGAAAATTTGGCAAAAAGTGGATCGGTTAAACCAAAACAATCAACAATAGAACCATCGGCATCAAAGACAAAGCAATCTGAGGTAAAAGTCTTTCTATTGGAGTGTAATAATGCCTCCCAACAACAGACATTGAGTGTGAAAAGCATTTGGTGTGAAATCTGTTTTGTATTGCAAAGTTTTGCTATTTCTGCTTACAGATGAAACCAAGGTTGTGTCACGTTGTTCGCCGAGATGGTGGATTTGGGTTTTTCTTGAAAGATGACAAAGGTCACTATTTGATCAATCTGGAGAAAAATGGACCTGCATTCCGCGCTGGTGCTTTGAATAATGACCGTATTGTAGAAGTCAACGGAGTCAACGTTGAAAACGAACCCCACAGTGTGGTAAGATCGGTTCACTCATCTCATACTAAATGGGTATCCCGCGTATATAGGGCCCATTCTATTTTTAAAACCTTTCACAAATATGACTTCGTCGCATTTTATCTACCATTGTTCATTTAGATCTGAACTAATTCAAACTAGATATACATCGCTAAATGACTGGTGGTTGACCAAATCCGTAGCGTGGCCAAATGCATAAAATATGCTTTATATGCTCATATACTTTAGTTGTACCAAACTAAGTGAATCTTCTCGGCTTGTTGAAAATCCAAGATTATTAAAATATTCCATATTTCTTAATTGCAATCAATTTAGGTCGTCAAAATGATACATCCAAGCAATGAAGTTACATTTCTCGTGGTCGGAAAGTTAGAAGACAAATATTTTCGTGATAATGGGATCGCAATTACTTCTGATCTTTTGAATACACCAGGTAAAATTTCTGGATTTGAAAGCTTTGACCGGTTACCCATGCATCTTCCTATGGAAATGTGAAATCAAGTCGGAGTTTAGTTGTAATCGATAACTGAACTCACAAATACCAAAAATTCTGATTAGCAGTAGTGATAAAGGGTATGGAAAAACCGAGCATCGATTCTTTACAGCATAATTTCATGGAAGCATACGACAACTGCGATCTTGCCTAGCCAAGCTTTAATCAATTGCGAATTGTAAAAACAAAATTTAAATTTTTAGCTTCACAACATTCCATTTTTCAGTGCCAACATTACTTTTATTGTTATTTCATTTAATCAAAACTAGCTTTATTGAAATAGTTTAAGGACGGTTCAATGATAAACAATAATTGAGGAAGGTAGAGGACCAGCAACTTTGAAATGTTTGGGATTGTTGTAATGTATATAGGCCTACTGATTAAAATTTGTTTTCAGATGAAAATCAGAAACATATGCCAACTGATCAAGAAGAAAGTCAGTCACAGTCACGCACAGTTGAATTTCAAGGTAAAATTTAAATGTTATATATACATTCCTAATCTCACGTAAATTATTTTGACAAAATGTGTTGATTATTGGTGGCCCAAAAATTTAAATTAAATAAGCAGTGTCACACCCAGCCCGGCAGCCCCATACTAATATTTGATGTCTAGATGTAATTGCACCTTAACAAAAGCCTAAAGTTTTTCTGATAAAATATAATTTAAAACCTCAAATTGGCAAAAATTGGTGAAAATATTCAAAAATTTGATTCGATTCTGTAATCCAAGAATATGAATTAAATTTTGTGTTTTTGTATTATCGATTGTTGTTGTAGACGCCAAATTTGAAGTGACTGTTTGGTGCACACATTAGGCTATTATTCTTAAAAGTTCGATCTGATAAAGTAAGCTATTCTGTCAATTCAATTCAAACATACGTGCACAAGTTATGGATGGTCTGTTATTATCGTGTACGACGAATGTAAGTCAAAAATGTACGATATGCGCCAGAAAAGCACATGTGTACTTTGAAAAGTAAGGGCGAACGCATGTCAGTGTGCACAGTATTCTAAAGAAAAAAATCAACAATATTTAAAACACTTAAGGAGCCGGTATGAAACGTGTCAACAATTGAAATTGATACTTTATCAAAGCCATGTAAATTAGAACAAACTCCGCTAAATACACACAGGGTAAGCTAATAAAATAACATCAAGAATACTCTCTAAATATAAAAATAATAAACCCAAATACGTACTTGTAACTACAGCTTCCAAAACAATCGATAGTTGATTGGAAAACAGTTCAGTAAATTAATATTATAAGTTCTAAGTACATCAAAGAGACAATTAAAACCTCGAACTGCAACTGAGAAGGTCGAAGCTTCACGTTCTGCAAAAAGTGTTCTAAAGCATTATGAAATCACAATCGTAAAAATCGTGGGCGGAACCATTTTAGGGTGTTGAAATTTGTGAAGGGATGGAACGCCAGCGCCTCCAGTGGCAAGCAGCAAAAAGTGAAATAGGCGGTTTTCAATTTTTTCGACTTCCAGCTGATAGCTACCGAAATTTTGCTGTGGTATCTGACCGAACGTTCGCGAAAGTTTAATTTCCTAATGTTGAAGTTTACGTTTGAGCAATTAAATATGAATATTTTATATATTTAGAGACTACAACAGAAGGAAAACCTACATGTGTTATATGCTTGACCAACGCAGTCAATGTATATTTTCGGCCCTGTGGGCATGTATGCTGTTGCCGGGATTGCCACGGTCAATTGACAACTTGTCCGATGTGCAGAAAGCCAATTGTTGAAAAATTATTTGCCTTTTTATAAATAAAATTCTTGTTTCTATATTCTAAATATATTAACATATATGCAAGTTTCTTTTGTATAGATATTCTTATGTATATATCATATACTTTTAATTCTGCTACGTTGTGTACTAATATTATATCTGGCTACTTCTAATAGCACTGACAGACTGATTTACGATTCAGTATGTTGTATTGCAGAAACTTGTATTCATTATTCAAAACATTACACACAGATTATATTGGATACAGAAGCACAGACGACGCTAGCTGAACTGTCAACTGTAGGATGACTTTTGACCCTAAGTGATAGTTGCCATACATTATTCTTCCAGTAGAAACATATACACTTGCACTGAAATAAAAAGAACACAAAACAACGAAACTTGCATGCACAATGCTATTAAAGATTAAGCCTATTTGGAGGATGTATAATCCGACCACTCCTAGTAACATAGTATCTGTCATCTCTCTGATTGTTTCGGAATGTAGCATTGTGGTTATCTGTTGCTCTGTGCCTATTATTAGGAGGTGGGCTGTGGGTACGTCCATTATCAGAATCAACATGGGGATCATAATCTGAATCATAATGATGAGCATTTTTATTGGCAATGTTTGTAGTTTGTCAAAGATGCTTTCTATTTCTTCTGTATTTTCTTCCATTTGATTGAACAATATATGATCTTGGGTTTTGATGATGATCAATTATAACAGCAGGTTTCCATTGTTTATAACCAGGTAATGATGACATCCTGACATCATCTTTCTTTGTCAGTTCATCATGCTCTATCATACTTGATTTGTCATAATCGTATTTTTGTTTAGCTTTCTGTAATGCCATTCTTCGTCGTACTTCATTTCGATCAAAAAATGATGGAGCGAGCAAAGCAGTAGCTATGGACAATGTATTTCTTGTGTGTCTACCCATCAGAAGTTGTGCAGGTGATAAACCAATTCCTTCCAGTGGAGTTGTTCTATAGTCAAGTAATGCAAGATGCTTGTCTTCACATTTTTTCCACAGATTTTTGACAGTTTGAATACATCGCTCTGCTTCTCCATTACTACTTTGAAAGTAAGGACTTGACATTTTATGCTCAATACCATATGCTTTACAAGATTTTCTGAATTCATCAGAATTATACTGACTTCCAGTATCAGAACGTATTAAGATTGGTATCCCAAGTCTGCAAAATTGAGACCTCAGAGCATTTATCACAGATTTACTTGAAATATCACGAAGCTCGTCAACTTCAATGAATTTAGAATAATAATCAACTGTTATTACGTAATTCCTTGCTTGAAATTCAAACAAATCAGTTCCAATTTCTTGATATGGCAATGTAGACGGAATTGATGGATTAAGTGGTTCTTTAGAAAGTGCTTTCTGATAAGTTGCACATTTTGAAATTTTTTTTACTAACTGCTCTACATCAGAGTTCATTGATGGCCAAAAGAACACCTCACGAGCTCTTTGTTTACATTTAACAATGCCCAAGTGTGACGACTCATGAACAAGTTTGAGAACATATTGCTGCATACTGGGGGAATGACAATTCTCATACCTTTGTAGATAATGCCATCTAAAACAGCAAGTTCACTGCGAGAATCCCAGAATGGACGAAGTGAAACACCCAATTATTTTCTCGTGTCTTGTCATCCAGTTTGTATGATCAATTGCAGAAAGCTGAGTTCCTCTTTTGTCAACTTTTGTAGTTCCAAATACTTTTCTTTGGATACAGAAATAAAATCCATCATGTTTATATAATCCAATCCACAAATTTCTGAGGACTTATCCGTTAAGTAGGCTCTAGTCTAGACAAAGTATCCGGTAAAATCATGTCTACGCCTCTTCGATACTTTATTTCCAGATCATACCATTGCAAATTCATGAACATTTTCTGTAACCTCATTGGTATTGACAACCAAGGTTTCTTAGCAATCATTTTGAGAGGTTTATGATCATTGTATACTGTGACTCGTTTTCCAAAAATATAGCAATGAAATTTCTTACAAGCATGGACAATTGACAATAGCTCTTTTTCTATCTGAGCATATCGCTTTTCAGTATCAGTCATTGCTCTTGAAGAGTAAGCAATTGGTCGTCCATCTTGCAACAGAACAGCACTTAGGCCATTTTGACTAGCATCACAATGAATTTCAACTGGTTTTGTGACGTCATAATATTTCAGAACGAGCGGTTTACAAAAAAGTTCTTTCAATCTACCGAATGCCTCTTTTTGTGCAGATTGCCAACTAAATTCAGCCTTCTAATTTAACAGTTCCCTGAGTGGTGCATCAACTTCACTAAATTTCGGTATGAATTTTGACAAATAGTGCAGAACGTCAGCCTAGTCTTTTGGTTCTGGCATGTTGCGTACAGCTTGAACTTTTGCAGGAACCGCTTTCAAACCTTCAGAAGTTAATAAATGACCAATGTATGGTACTTCATTTTTACGAATCAAGCATTTTTTGAAAATCAGACTTAAATTATAGCTTGTTGCTTTTCGTATAACTTTTTTTAAGATCTCATCATGATGTTTAATATCCCGTCCAGTGACTAGAATATCGTCCATTATAGCAACAGCTCTAGAAATGTCTTCTAACATTCTGTCCATAATTCGTTGATAAATTTCTGGACTACAGACTAAACCATATGGAAGACGTAACCAACGATATCTCCCAGCAATAGTATTGAATGTGGTTAAAAATGAAGATGCTTCATCCAGCTTAATTTGCATGAATCCGTTCTTTGCATCTAGTACAGAAAATACTTTAGCATCTGGTATATCAGAAACTACTTCTTTGATTGTTTTCATAGGATGATGCTCTCTTTTTATTACTTTATTGAGATCGGATGGATCAATACAAATTCGCAATTTATCTTTTCGAACAGACACCACCATTGAACTAACCCATTATGTTGGCTGTTCAACCTTAGTAATGTGGCCATTTCTTTCCATTTCATTGAGTTTTTCAATTATCTTTGTTTTCAAAGCAACTGGTTGTCTTCTGACTGCATGTATAACACCTTAAGCATTCGGAACAAGTTTGATAGTGTACTCTCCCGGCAGTGTACCACTAGTATTTGACATTTCAAAAAAAGCTCTGAGTGTTTCATTTGTCAAATCAGATGTTATATCCAATGGCTGTAGTCTTGAGATCAAGTTCAGTTCTTCAGCAAGATCTCCTGACATAACATTATCTTGTTTAAACTTCACAATTTCAAATGTAGCTTTAACATTTTTGTTGTTGTGGTTGATATTGAAATCAGCTGATGCTACTGGTTTAAAACAGTGATTGCTATAACTTCGCAGCAATTTTGTAGACTTTTTCTGTATGCCTTTATCTGACATATTATTGTAATCTGACAGAGTTATTGTGTTACAACCAGCTCCGGTATCAATTCTAAAATTCAGTGGACTTTTGTTTAAAAACAGTGTTACATACCATTTTCCATGGCTATGCTTTTTGTAATTCAATGCATGTAAGTCAAGAACTTGTGGTTCAGATTTCATTGAATTCATTGATGACATTTCAGAATAATTTTCAGATGTTGTTTCAGATTCTGTTTTGACAGAATTTATTTTCGTACGTCGACGACAGACTGCTTTCCAGTGATTAGGTTTTTTTTACAGTAAGAACATTGTGACCCAACTGCAGGACAATTACCTTTATAACGACTGTGTGAAATATCAACTTCACAGCGAGAACATATCTTATCAATCTTGTCATATTTGCGGTCAAATGATGCATTCTTTGCTTTTCGTTTCTTGTCCGAATACCTGAAATTTGATTAACGATAAGGATTTTGTACAATTCTGGAGACTGAAAAATCCTCTTCATCTCGTACTATACGTATTTGCTTTTGTGCAAGTTCATAGTGCTGACCAATTTCCAAAACTTTAGCTAGTGTAAGATCTTCTCCTTTATCTAAAAGTCTTTCTTGCAGTTTTTTCTCATGTACACCATCGATAATACAGTCAATTAGAATATCATCTGAATCAGCATATTCACAATCCATTAGAATGATTTTCAAATCTTTAACAAAGTTGTCAAACGATTCTGATAAGCCCTGTTTACGTCGCATCAATTTATGTCGATTAATTCTTTTATTTTTTCTGGGTCTCACATATTTCTCAAATTTGGCCAAAACAGCAAAAGGATCTTTTTTCTCTTCTTCTTCCCAAGTTAGAGTTTTGTAGATTTCTCTTCCTCAATGCCCTATCCATGTTCCAAGTCATCCGGCTTTCTCAGCTGCAGGCAATTTGGCTAACGGTCCAACAAAAGTAAACTAAACATGGGTTTTGAATCTGCAAAATTCTTGGTACAGATCATGACTATTCCAGTCAATCATTGGATGATCAAAGGTATTTGACATTGACATCTCGGATTCAGTTGCAGATAAACAGATTTGAGATTAATTCAGACAAAATTTTTGGACACGAAATGTACATATGGATCGTTTTGGTATTACGTTGTTGTTGTTATGAGAATTCTTTTCCCCCTCTTGTTGAAAAATTTCTTATAAATTACTGGACCAATTGCTTTGAAATGGTCTGTGATTAAAGATCGTATGGTTTTCTAGAAAGGTATTAGGGTACTTTTACTTATTTCAAAAATTTGTGTGGGTTCTGAGGGAATCGTTTATTGTGTGTGATGACGTCATCAAAATAAAAAATATCGCACCTTGTGTTCGCGGTATGGTGTTTAGACAAAGTCGGGAAGACTGCCGTACCAGTAGTTTACTGTGACAGATTGTATACCGTACTATTTCGTTTCGACCTTCATGACCATATTTTTGAGCATCGCCTTCTTGTTTCACAAAATATTGAATTCAACACACGTTAGTTTCTTCTGTTAGTTTAATTTTGCCTGGAATATTTGATTTGTGATCCTGGAATATCCTTGTTTCATCTTAAGCCTCCAAAGCTTCTACAGGGCACTAACAAATTCAATTAAAAACCAGTGCACAGTACTAAATCAGTTAAATGAATACTTGGTCTGAAAATAGTGCTTTTCTTGTGAGCGAAAATTGCAATTTCGGCCTCACAACCCTACTTTATAAGCGGCGATTGGCATATTTAGTCCCAGTGATTTCCCTACACCCCAATAGGGGATGAACACCCCCTCTAAAATTTCAAACACCCCCCCCCCCCCTAATTTTGAGGTGAGATTCCACACTTTAATTCCTAACTCTAGTATAATTGTATTCAAATATAACGCCTATGGCATATTCATCAGTGTAGATGAGGGGTTCCAAACCGCAGTCTGCGGGCCAATTACGGCTCGCGTGACGATTTAAAATGGCCCGCCGAAGTTGAGTGAAATAGTTTAACCCTTCATGTGGTACCTTTTGAGTTTTAGATACCGTCTATTGTTACATCATTATCACAGTTTAAGGACGTTTATTTCGTAACAATTGAATTATATCGGTATCTTATGTATACGTATGGGTATTAGGATTACACACTGCAGTATTTTAGATATCAGCCATATATTAGGAAGGCTTAATAATGTCACAAAACGAAAACTAGGCACCGAAAACAGACGTTTTTTAGATGAATGACAGCGTTTTCATTTTTTTATTGAAAAGAATCAAATTTCAGCGATTTGTCTTCTTACCAACAAAATATTTCAGTTCTGAAGGAATACAACATTATGCGCCATTATGATCAGTTGACGCGCGTATTTCAAAATTTAATTCATTGCATAATTCATACAAAGTTCAAACAAACATGTTAAAAAAAATGTGAAATGTGTAACAAAACAAGCCATAAGTAGCCATTCATACAATGCCAGATGAGCTAGTAACTTCATTAGTCACTATCAGTTGCAAATTACTTGTTGAAACCTAGTAGTATATAGTTACGGTTGAAAGCCTTGCTTCCCGGGAGTTCTATCAGCTAAATATTATAATTATTGATTTCATTACATAACAAACTGCGATGCTAGGTGTATCTAAAATCAAGCTTAGAGCCTATTTTGGTGCCTATTTCTCAAAATTTTCTCAGCCGTGCCGTCCCGCATTTTTCCTCGCTGCCCTTTTCTGGCCCTACAATTTTATTCTGCTGTGGATTTTGGCTCGCCATCAATCAACTTGGGGGGCCCCTCTTGTACATCGTTTCTTAAATACATACCATTTTTTTAAGAATACAAATAGCCTAGCAAATTATTTACCACCCCCTAAATTTTGAAACATCCCCCCTAAATGGAAAAGCTGGGGAACATACTGTTTAGTCCCATTGTCTGCTGATCTTTTCCATTCCGCCCGCGTTCAAATTGAGCACCTGTTTTTAACAAAATATTTCGATTAAGCTATGTTAATGAAGAATACGCGAATAGTAAAATAAACAATGAACAAAAACACTCGTATGGAAATGAGATTAATATGATATGAATGATACAATACCGCGGTCTACAAGCGCTGCTTTAATCTACAACGCTGTTCTCGACATTCATTTCGAAGAATCTAGGATATATAGTAAATAAGACAGAATAACGAGCTCATTGAAGTACTTGGGAGGACGAGGTGTCACT